ATCTGTTACGTGCTCTCAGCTACCAAGAATATACCTTTTCAGAAATAAATAGGGGCTTTTATCCTTGCAAATTTTAAAACTACCAAACCCCAGCCACTGGTCAACATCCAGAACAACTTTGGGCTATCCAGGAAAACTTACAGGATATCCTCTGATATCAAAGATTAATTAGGAGAATCAGTCCTGCAGGGAGACCCATCTTCTACTGCAACATATACCTCTTGGCATTTCTGCCTTAAATGCAAGGACCTATTTAAGAGCTGAGATTGAATACCTCGTAACTCTGCCCTGTACCTGGTGCCTTAAGCCTTACACCTGGACACTAAGATAAGAAGCTTACATACAGGATACAGGACATTCTGGATTTGGATTGACATCAAGATCATTTCCAAAATTTGGATCGGTATTAGAAAGGGTATGAATTGGAGAAACACTTGTGGAAACTTACAACTCAAAGCAGACACACCTAGGGGTATGTTATACACACAAAGTCAAAACCCAGGAGACCCTGCCTGGTAAAGGGGGCCTAAAAAATGGTATGGTAGTTTAAGTCCAGACTTCTAGGTGGTCAGACCTAGTAGGAGTGGGCTTTTGGGACTTCTGACTTATTGATAGCTTATTTCCTGAAATTTCTTCTCATCTACTTACCCTGCTTGCTTATGGTTGTGTCAGTTTCCTGTCTCTGGCCTTGCTTCCACCTTAATATCTGATGCCAGCCCATCTTCCTCAGCTATGCCCAGAGACCTTGTTGGTTTCTAGACTTTCTGGGTAACAATTTGATTCTATCTAGCTGACTTTTGGCACCCCATTCTGATGTGCCCCTGGGTTGTTGGCATTCATACTATCTTTGCCCCAGTCCTCCTTGGAAAGGATACGAATTCTAGTATATATTTTTCAGTCTTATTCAGTAGCAGTTCTTTCTGATTAGCATATTTCTATCTGAATTGTATTTAAAGTAAGTGAATTTCTGACTTGCATATTTAGTGAATGAATCACTTGGGTAATTCTGTTTCAATGAACCACTGTTTAAAAGTATGCATTAGATCACCAATAAATTACAAAGATAAGATGATTTAGTTCTTTTACCTCTCCTCTGATGGGGTCTGGACTGCTGACAACAGCTGATTCTGCAACTGAAGGGTGCTCAATTAAGGCACTTTCTACTTCAAATGGTCCAATTCGGTAACTGGGAATGCATATGGCAGTAATTTATAGAGGTGAGCAGTTCATTCCAGAACACGGATGATCAGTTAACACAGTCATATGCAAGGATGGAAAAGAAAATTACCCAGAAGATAATATGATATCATCTGCTCTTGCAACAAACCAGAAGTAGCCATCTTTATCCACATACCCTCTGTCCCCAGTGATATAGAAATTGCCTCGTAGAGTTGAAGCTGTTTTTGAAGGATTATCCTATAAAACAAATAGCATTTTGTTAATATTATTGTGAATCTGACTATTCTAGTCAATTGGATTTTTAGATGCTCAAGGAAAAGGAAAAGCTCGGCTCTTTTGAGAAGGCTTAGGTTGAAGAAGAGCCAGAGGGTGAAACAGGGATCAAATCTTAGCATGGAGATAGCCAAGCAGAAGAAAGAAAAACTACAAAGACTAGGAATGCTAAGGTATTAAGAATTTTCTTAGAAGGATCACAAAATATTGCAGGAGCTCAGAGTATTAGGCTAAATTAAATCTTTTGCTAATTGATTAATATCTAATTCTGGTAGGAAAAGAGAGAAGTGAATACTCAGCGCTAAAGGAAAGTACTGACACCTAATAATTCAAAAGGCAGTTTGTGTTTGTGTTTTGTTTTGTATTACATAACACAGAATTGTTTCTATAACTCTGGCATAAGAAGGAATATGAATGAAATATTGTTACATTATATAAAGTTCATGGGCAAGTAGAATCTAGACTTTGCATTATATTTATAAAGACATTGCTTTAATTTGTACACAATGATTAGAGATGAAAATCTGTTTACAAATTGTAAGGAGCTCATAAAGCCTTAGTGAAAGATATTTATTTAATCCTGCCAGCCCATTCCCTATTCCTATCCCTCTCCCTCCTCCCAAGAAGGAGAGCACTAATTAGTATTTAGGAAAATGAGTGACTCTTATTTGGTAATTGAGAGGATCAATGGATGGTAGAAGGCTGTCTTCTTTATAGGATTCCCTTCCTCTTTTCTTCATGAGCCTGTAACAGTGATGTAGCCTCTCGGGACCAGCACATTGTTCTTTAGCAAGCAATTACCTATCTTCAGAATTACCATTCAGGCCAATGAATCTCTCAAGAAAGGGTCAAGTACCTATCCTCTGTGTGTTTTGTACCAAGTAGGGATAGTTACCAAGCATTTTTGAGAAATAAATAGAAAATAAGAGATTATTTAATAAGTCGCTTACTACATAGTGAGTAAAAAGACCGAATGGTCGGTTAGGTAGAACTCGAATGCCAATATCTCCTTCCTGTCCAGGAGGTAAAACATTGCCATGTGCATCTAAAATCTAGGATAAAACAGAACAGTTTATTTAATTCCATATCATGCAGACCTTTACTTTGCATGTTTTGTTTTTTGCCATTTGAGCCTTACCAAAATGTGAAAGAAGAATAAAAATTTTCTTAAATTTTATCATCCTCCAATGATCACATTTTGGTAATATTCTTTGAGTCAATATAGACATGGAAAAAATAGGATCAATTTATAATATACAGATTTACAACCTGTTTTTTATCATTTAGCAATATATTTTCAGTGTCTTCCTCTCAATAAATAAATATCTTCATTACCGGTTTTTAAACTTTGTTTAGCTGTGGAATATATAAAACCTTACTTCAGAAGCCCAATTAAGTGAACAGGAAAAGGGACATGTTCTCTGGTCAAGACAATGGTAGGTAAGCCAAAGCCTTGCTCTCTTACTCTTCCCAGTCCTCTTGGTTCTCTGAAGTTCCTGATAGTAGCTAGCAGTTATTAAGCATTTACTGTATGCTAAGTAATAAATGCTAAAGCACTAAGTACTGTACATGTACTTTTTTTTTTTTTTTTTTTTTGGTCTTGCTCTGTCACCCAGGCTAGAGTGCAATGGTGTCATCATAGCTCATTGTAATCTCAGACTCCTGGGCTCAAGCAATCCTACCTCAGCCTCCTAAACAGCTGGGATTACAGGTGTATTCCATTATACTGGGTTTTGGGTTTTTTGTTTTGTTTTTTTTTTTTGAGACAGAGTCACACTATGTCACCCTCAGTAGTGAGCTGTGAGGTCACAGTTCACAGTAACCTCAAACTCCTGCCTCAGCCTCCCAAGTAGCTGGGACTACAGGCACCTGCCACAATGCCTGGCTACTTTTTTTGTTATTGGTATACTTGTCATTGTTGTTTTTAGCAGGCCTGGGCTGGATTTGAACTCACCAACCCCAGTATATGTGGCTGGAGCCCTGACCACTGAGCTACAGGGGCCAAGCCTTTTTTTTTTTTT